GAAATTTCTCTGTGGCTCTATTTTCTTGGTGATATAGAAGCAGCTGAGGGCCGGATGGGGAGGAGGTACTGGCAGTTCAAAGAGAGGAAGGTGTGAAACAGCTGTCTTGGAGACGGGGAGTGTGCATGACCAGGGCAACAGAGTCCACTTGCTGGGCAGTGTGCAGGCTGCTCATGGGTCAGTGAGAGTGGGCAGTGCTTCTGGGAGAGGTTGGGCATGGAGCAGGTCCAGCAAAGGGTTCTAAAGGCTCAGGTTAGCAGTACTCCATGCCTGGCACTGTTCTGGGCTCTGTGGGCACAGGGTGGGCATTGCAAAGGGGCGACAGATCACCACAGACTCATCATTCTGTGGGGTGCCTGGGGAGGCGGGGGTAGTGACAGTGTGGTGGGAAGGTCTGTAATTATGTGATCAGATTGCTCAGCAGGTGTAGGTACTCAGTGCTCCTCTGTCTATAGCTCTGTTTTGTATTATAAAAGTGATGCATGCCACATCAAGAAAATTTAGGAAAAGGTAAAAAAAAAAAGATAAGTAAAAAAGTAGATCATCTGAAATCCATGCTCTCCCCACCCTGCTGAGAGGCAGCTACGATAGTTAACACTTGGACGTCTTATTATTAAAGAAAAGGGCTGTCCCTGCCCAATGGGCCTTTGAGATTTGACCTCATGTCCAAATGTGAGTACGTCCCCCACCAAATGTAGCCAAGCAACAGTGTGGTAGGCTGAATGGGCCATGGGGGGTCCTCTCCCCATTCCTGGCAGAAGTCAGGGAGGCCTTCCTGGAGGGGGTGGCCATGAATTGGGTCTTGAAGGTTGAGGGTCCCTCAAGCCTGTCTTGCTGTCTTTATCCCTCCTTTCTCCCCTTGTTCAGTGCTTTTAAGGGCAGAGCTAGCTCCCAGCCCCTGTCCTACTGTGTGGCGAATAGGGTGGTCATGCTGCAGGTGAGATGAGTAGGGACGGCCCACTCTGTGTGAGGACAGGGAGGCAGAGTGGCCTGAGCGTGCTGCCCCACTACAGCCCCTCCATTTGTGCAGTGCGAAGCCTGTGAGGCCATACACAACAGTCTGTGAGGAGAGTCCCTCCACCCCCGACATCAGCCCCTGGCCTGGCACCCACTCCCTAGCAAGAAGGAGAAGCGGGGGTGGGGGTACATGTTCCACCCTCCTGGGTCTGTGTGCCCCTCCAGATACCAGCGACAGTGAGCTGGAGCTGTCCATGGTGCGCCACCAGCCAGAGGGGCTGGAGCAGCTGCAGGCACAGACCAAGTTCACCAAGATGGAGCTGCAGTCCCTCTATAGGGGCTTCAAGAATGTGAGTGATCCCCACCCCTCAGGAGAGGCCCTGACCCACCCCGCCCTTTTATCCTTGGCTCCAGGAAGGGGAATTTTGGCTCAGGCAGACCTAGAAATTTCATGGAACAGCAAATATCCTGGGGCCTTGATGTGGCTCATGTTTTGTGGGAGACCTGTCTGGGGAGCGTGTGGGCCAAGCCCAGAGTCAGTGTCTCCTTTCTGCGTGTCTATGTGCTGGCACAAGGGAAGGACCAGATTGGCCCAAGGGGACCAGCCACCGCCCCGCCCCCACACACACACCCCTACCCTTCCTGCCTCGCCCCCGCCCCAACCACCAGACTTTCCTGGGCGCTCAGTAGAGCCCAGCAGTGCCTTGGACAGTAGGCATCCTTCAGAGGGAGGAGCAGGGTGCGGGGCTGGGGGTGGCCGAGGCTGCTGAGGGTGACTTACTGCTGCAGGAGTGTCCCTCGGGCCTGGTGGATGAAGACACCTTCAAACTCATTTACGCACAGTTCTTCCCTCAGGGAGGTGAGTCTGAGGCCAGACCCTGCTCCCGCTTCTCCCAGTGCCCCCCTGCGTCCCTACGGCAGTTCTGCAGAGGGCGGGTGTCCCTTTATGGGGAGGGGACCCTCACCCCACCTCTATGCTCCCCGCCACCACGTGCTTCCTGGTGGCCTGATGCTGCCTCTATCCCATTGGAAGGGGGTACCCCAGCTCAGGACACAGGTGGGCCCCCAGTGGGGCTGCCTGAGGTGGGAGCTTGGCTGCCAGGAGGCCCCCCTCACCCCAGCCAGTGCCCTTGTCTCCTCCAGATGCCACCACCTACGCACACTTCCTCTTCAATGCCTTCGACGCTGACGGGAACGGGGCCATCTGCTTCGAGGTAGGTCTCTGCTGTACCCTCTCACATCCCCTGTGGCATGCCAGGCGTCCCTGTGCCCTGGTGCCACACCCTCGGGCTCTCTAGAGGGTCCGGCCTGATCCTGGTGTCCATGGTCCAGTGGGTCCCCTGGCGAACAGGTGGACTGTGTTTGCCTGGCCTGGGCCTAACTATGAAGTCAGTAGAATTTGGTTTTGCCGTCTGGCCTCCTATTCCCAGCCTTGTCTTCCAGTCCAGCCCCAGGGAGCCCAGGGAGCCACCGCGGCACCCCGAGGTGGCAGTGACCCAGGGTGAGTTTGCACGGGAGAAAGAGACGAGGCTCCATGAGAGATCTGTGCTGACAGCGGGCTTCAGGCCCCAGCCCCAGACTCACCGCCTTTGTCAGGAAACACACAGGGCACCCGGCCTGAGCAGCTCCTGCCATCCCAGCCTGGTGCCTCTGCTGTCAGGAAGGGGAGCCTGCCCCCCACCGTGTCCCCAGCAGGGCCTCGCCCGGCTCAGTGTGGGCGGCCATGGGTCCCACCCCGGCCAGGCCACAAGATCATTTGAAGGAGGCATGTCTGCGGAGCCCAGGCCCCTAAAAATAGCTGCAGGTGAAAAGCTGAAACCTCTTTGGGGAGGAAACCCATGCTGAGAGCCAGGCGTGATCGATAACCACTCGGCCAAGGGCGATGACAGGAAAGCCTCGGACCGAGAGGCCGGGGGAGATAATAGCTCTAACATCGCATCCTGGCGGTGCTGCATTCCTCCGTGTGCCCGCCCGCCCGCCCGCCCGCCCCGTGCTGCACTGACACCGCCTGGGTGGCCACAGTCCCGCCCCCTGGGCCACACTCTCAGGGCTCCTGTGCGTGTGTGAACGTGCAGTGTTCCCAGCTTCCCTGTTCTCAGTGATGCCTGCACACAGTACAGATCCCGTCCGTGCAGAGGGGGAGACAGCAGGGAAAGCCCACTGTCCCCAGGGCCCCTCCCTGTGACCAGTTTCTGCAGATCCTTCTCGAGGCACCTGAGACGTCTGGGAAGGGGGTGTGGGAAGGGGCTAGTGTGAGGGACACGCCAGGGCGTGGTGGTGGCGCCTCTTGTTCTGAAATCGGAGAATCCGACTGCTCAGCAGGGCCCCTCTGTGCCCAGGGGGGTGCCAGGAAGGTCCAGGTTCCTCCCCTGTGGCCATCACTCCCCATCCCCCGAGGGAGGGGTCTTTTGACACCTTTAAGGTGGTGGTGGGCCTTGGGGGGCTGCTGTCAGTGGCTGAGTTGAGGGTGCTGGTGCTGAGGCCCCTCTGCCTGGCACCTCCGCTGTCATCTGGCCTTCCATGTGCCGCTCTGCCTGTGAGGTCGCGCCTCTGGGTCCACATGGTGTGTGTTCTCCATGACGACCTTCCTCTTGACCCGGGGTCTGCTATGGGGAGGTTTTCCAGGAAGGGAGGAGGGCATGTGTGTCCCCAGAGTCCTCCCAACCAGCAGGGCTCCATGCCGGCTGCGCACAGGCCAGGAAGGGTCCCGGCAGGTTGGGATGACACTCAGCCCCCTCATGGCTCAGACTCAACGTGTTCTGGAAATGGACACTCAGGTCAGTTTATGGGCATTTACAGGATCCCGATGCTTTCGTATGTTCTTGAGAGACAAGACCCATATTAATTCAAATTGACTGATATGGGAAAATGTTATAACTTCCCTGCCCTCACCAGAGACGACCAGAAAGTAGATGGGCGAGACCAGCAAACCTTGGCACGGAGCCACGCTGGGTGTCTTAGTTCGGAGGCCTCTCTGCATCACGGTGTGGCTATAGGAGCCCCTCAGCCTCCCGGGGCTCTGCCTCAGGGACAGCCGGAGAGCAGGGCTGTGGATGTGACAGGCTGGTTATGCCTCGGACTTAAGGGCAAGGAGTCGCAGAACTAGCCCTGGCCCCACTCACTACTGTGCTGTGAGGGCTGGCAATTTAGAACTCGACAGCTGTCTGGACGTGAGGTCATCTGTGTGTCACCGAGGATGGGCCAGTGGGCCCCGGCACATGCCACCACCCTCTCCTGGCACCACCGCTGCTATACGACACACACGGAGGGACCCTGAACGGGACAGTCCTCGGGGTGGTTGACCACGAGGGCTTCGCACCACAGACCCGCGTCTGAAGGCCAGAGGGGGGACAGTGGTGCCCCCGGGGCCCACGCGAGACGGGGTCCTGTGTAGGATTCCAGTCCTTCCCCTCCCACCAGGGAGCCTGTCGGACCCCAGAGGAGAGGGAGGGCGTGAACTCAGATGCTTTGACTCTTCGCTGCTGAGGAAACCGCCAGCAGGAGTCAGCGGTGCCCTCGACTCTGAGGACAGTCCGTGGTTTTCCTAGACATACTCTCATCTTCTTCGCCTAAACACACACGTGATGTCAAGAGTCCCGCAGATTACAGGCCATAGACCTTGGGAAACAGCAGTAACACCCACATCCCTGAGGAGGCAGCCTTCTTTTAGCTGATTGTCACTGTCCTCGCAGCAGCACGCCTCCACTCCTCCTTCCTGACTGTCCATCTCAGACACGGCCTGCGGCCGTCTGCCCGGTGGTGGGGACGCGGCCTCACAGGCACACACGTTTCCATCCCCAGCTTCCCACAGAAGCACAGGGTTCCGATTGGACCTGGTGGGCGTTTGAGCCCAGTAAGCCTTGCAGTAAACTGTGGCGTGCTCTCCTCTTCTGCACACATTCTCATCCTGCCTGCCATTGGCAATTTCCTGAGTTTTCACTTGCCTGGGTCTGGACCTCATCATTAACTCACCCAGGTCCTTCTCCTGTCGTCTGGACGGGCACCTCCCGGAGGAAACGCATCCCCAGCCTCAAGGCTCCAGCATCCACTGGGGCTGGGCACCTCCTGGGGGTCTCGTCCCCTGTCCCCTGCTTTGGGTGGCCTGCGTCAGGTCTTCCCGGTCCCAGCACCATCCTCCTGCCCACTTTACTCTTTCTTCTCAGGTGCACGTCTCCCAGCAGCCATCTAGGAAGAAAGTAGGTGGGAGGTAGACGTCTGGGAGGGTCTTGATTCTGTTCTCTTGTTTGACGTGTTGTGTGGGACCAGAGCGTGGTGGGAAGCTGTGGTCCTTCAGGATGGTGGCCTCCTCCCCCGAGTGTTGCCCAGAGGGCAAAGCCTGCTGACCCCGGCCCTGTGAACGGGCTTGATTCTGCTTTTCTCTTCGGCTTTGTTTTTTCTCTCTGGAAGCCTGGAGGCTCTCTTTGCACCCAGTTTTCTGAATGGCATCGGGATACATGCCTGCAGGTGACACTGCGGGCAGTTTGCAGGCATGCGAGGCCTCAGCAGGCCCTGCACAGGCACAGCCTTCCCTTGTGGGCGTTCTTCCCTCCCTTCTCGCCCCTCATGCCTCGTGTCCTCCCGAGTACGTCATTTTGCTTTCTTTATTTCCAAAAGCTTTTTTCTTGTTCTTAGTTATTCCTTTTTTATAGCATCCTGTTCTTATTTTAGGAATGTCAGATTTCCAATCTCCAAATCCAAAAGTTGTTGTTAAGTGTTTTCCTCCTGTAATAATTTTGTTTCTTCCAAATCGCTTTTCTCTGTTTCCCTTTGGCTTTCTCCCTGTGACACCGGCGTCCTCAGATCCAGGAAGTATGCGGTTTGGGTGGGGACTAAGCCCCGGGGTGTACGGCCTGTCCCTCCACAGGCTGCCCCTCCGCCTTCCTGGGACCGGCCTTCTCTGCCCCCCTCCCTCAGGAAGCCCCGGGAGGACCGTGGGCGGGAGGCTCAGCTGCAGGCTCCTGGGAGCGGAGGGAAAGGCTCGTCCCCCCAGCTGTTGTGACACAACAGTGGGCGTTTCCAGTGGGAGCCGTGGGAATGTCTGTCTTGTCACATTGGTGATCAGTGTCCACCACACTCAGAGGCTTGTCCTGGCCCAGAATTGAGCGCTGTTAGCTTAGCTTTGGAAGCTGGGAGTTTCAAACACTCTGACATGCAGATCCTGGCAAACTACAGGGAGGGCACCCCTTATTAAAGAGGTGTCCTCCATCAGAGCAATGCATTATGGCCTGAGACACCATATGTTCGAATGGCTTTACTTGAGAAGATCAGTATCAGCCACCATGTCATCCCCACCACACACACACACATGCATGCGTGCATACGCACACATGTACACATATGCACACACATGCACATGCACACACACTGTCAACCTCATGGGCCCCTGCCTGCTCTGTAATGGAAGCCCCTCACTCTGGAGCTGTGGCTCAGTGGAAGCCCACAGCGAACTGGGGTCAGATTGGCACTCCTCACCCTCCCTTCCTCCCAGGACTTTGTGGTTGGCCTCTCCATCCTCCTGCGAGGAACAGTCCAGGAGAAGCTCAAGTGGGCCTTTAACCTCTACGACATTAACAAGGATGGCTACATCACCAAAGAGGTACGGGGGACTGAGGCCTGGCCTGTCTGCCCTCCCGCCCCCTGTGGCTGCTGCCCAGGCTGTCTTGCCTCCCCTCCCCTCCCCACCCAGAGACCAGGTCGGGGACAGCCACCAGGGGGCTTCCTCCTCTCCTGGGCTCTGTCCTGGGCCCCTGAGTGCAGGGAGCATGGGGCTGTGTGCCCCTCACCACACATCGGGTTCAGTTCTGCAAGTGTCCTAGGACCAGCCCTTCTTACAGAAGGGCCTGGGGAGACACGGGTGGAGAAGCCTAGGGTGGGGCTGGCCTTGGCTCCCACCAATCAAGGGGCAAGGGGGGCCCTCACCACATGGGGCCACAGGTGGGTTCTTTTGGCCCAAACACTTTTTGTATATGAAATAGTAGCTACAGTCTCAAATTTTGGAGACAAAAATCTACCTCTGACTTTTCTTGAAGAGTCAGAGCTGTCACTGGGCAGAGCAGGGGCGGGGGCAGAGCAGGGCGGCCTCAGCTGGCTCAGACCTGCCCTGGAGGGGTTCTCCCCCCATGGGTGCAGCCCCCTCCCCTCTGGCCTTTGCACCCTCCCCCATCCTTGCAGCGGGACTCATGCCAGCCCCTCCGCCCCTGCAGGAGATGCTGGCCATCATGAAGTCCATCTATGACATGATGGGCCGGCACACCTACCCCCTCCTGCGGGAGGACGCACCTCTGGAGCACGTGGAGAGGTTCTTCCAGGTGAGCGCTCCAGCCGGATGTGCGGCCGGAAGAGGAAGGGGCTCTGCTCAGGACACCTGGGCGAGCCACCCTGAGCCCCCCTCCCACAGGAGGGTAAATGGCCGTGCCCCGTCAGCTGAACCTCGGCTCAGGGCCGGCTGGGCTCACAGATTCCAAGATGGCTGACATCTTGGCCGTGTCCTGGTGCCTTCCAAGAGCCCGCCCCCCCGCCCCCCAGCTCCTCCAGGGAAACTGTCTGCAAGAGGAATGGGGTTGGGGTGACTTCTCTGTGTGTCCGTGGGACATGTGGCCTTTCTGTGCCTTGGTTGCTCCATCTGTCCTACTTGCCTGTCGGGGTGAATTCTGGGAATTGTAAGCCCAGGAGGCCATCAGAAGCCTCTGGGGCTGGAGGGCAGACTGGGGAGAGGTCAGCTGTGGGGTGCGAGGGCTGAGGACCCAGTGTAGGGGCCAGAGGGGAGAGGTGGGGGTGGAGGAGGCCCACCCTGTGCACGTCCTCAGGCCTGGGACAGGGACTGTGCCTGGTGAGACACAGACTCACCGAGGGTGTGGCTTGGGTTGCAGAAAATGGACCGGAATCAGGATGGGGTAGTGACCATTGATGAGTTCCTGGAGACCTGTCAGAAGGTAGGTGTCCTCGGGAGTTGAGAACACTGTGTCCTGCCCTGGCCAGTCCTCAGGCCACTCCCCACTCCCAAGCTCCACTTTCACTTTCTTCTGAACCCCTCCCCCGGCTCCTGCCCGCCACAGCCCACTTGGGCCCACCCTATCTCAGCCCTGCCCTTGCGTGCTTTGAGTTAGAGGGGGCAGAGGGGGGGCCCGCAGGGGTGATGAGGCAGTGTGGCCCTCGGGCAGGGTCACGCTGGCCGACAGGCACCTGGAGCCTCCCAGTGTTGCTGACTCTCCTCTGCAGAGCCCTTGGGGTCGGGGAGCCAGGGCCTCAGACCTCTGCCACTTGCCTCGCTCCCAGAGTGACCTGTCCATGGCCCCTGGCCTCCACTGGGTGAGCAACCAGGGAGGTTTGTCCTTCAGTGAGTTAGCCGATCCCAGACGGGCTGTAGTCAGGCCTTGGGGCTGAAGACGGGCTGGGCCTGACCAGCTCCTCCCAGCCAGGGACACAGACCGAGTGGTCCCTGCAGAGGCCGGTCCTGACCAGAATCTGCTCAAGGTGACCAGAGGTGGGCACCGCCCGCCCTGTCCACCGGGGTCTGACCCGGCCTCTCATCGCCTCTCCACGCAGGACGAGAACATCATGAGCTCCATGCAGCTGTTCGAGAACGTCATCTAGGACACATCGGGGATCCCCAAGTGGCCATCGTCACCACCTCAATCCTGCCAGGAACAGCCTCCAAGAGAAACTTTTTTCTAATATATTTGCAAAAAGTGAACAGTTTGCTACACACACACACACACACACACACACACGTGCACCATTCCTCTGGGCTAGGTCGGGGAGGGGTGCTGCATCGGGTTGGGATCTGGGTCCAGGTGACATGAGCTACACCCCCAGCCAGCCCATCCCAGGCCAGGGGAGTGAGGCTGCCTCTGCAGTGGGCCGAGTCTGCAGCTATTGGCTGCTGGGTGTGCGCAGGGAAGTGCTCAGCTCCCCTGCAAAGGAGGGTCCAGTCTCCAGAGTGAAGGCCCCTCCCTCCCGCTTCCCTTCTTTGCCACCACCCATGGGCCAGGCTCTGGCCTCCTTGTCTCCCAGCCATTCCCAGCCCACTGACCACACTCCCAGGATGCACCTCACCGCAGAACCCTGAGGGGCAGCCGGGATAAAGGGTGTTCAGACTAGGAAAGAAGTGATGGAGGCAGAGCCTGCTGCTTCCTGGAAAGGTTTCCTGGTGAGCTCTGCTGCGAGGATGAGGGGCCATCCCTGCTGTCCCTCCATCCCAGGAAGGAGGCCCTTTAAGCTCAGGGTTGGGTTTCCTGGTGGAGAATGTGAGGAGACTGTGCCGACCCCACGAGATGGGAGAAGCCCTCCCCTACTTGCCCAGGCCAGGCTCAGTGGGGACACAGTGGTGGCACTGCCCCCACCCCTCAGGCTCTGAACTGTTCGCCCCAAGTCATCATAGGTTCCAAGAAGAGGCCATGTGGCTCAGGGACTGGCCGCCCAGGAGCCCGGTGGCAGCCAGCCCAGGAAGGGCTTCTCGGCCCTTTGTCCCCCAGCCTCTGTCTCCCGTGGCCCAGCAGTTGGGTTGAGCTCCCCTCTGGTGGGGTCCTGAAGCAGTGTGGCCACCTCCGCAGGGCTCACCCCAACCCATACACAAAGCACAAGCACCCCCAGAGCTCAGGTGGAGCCCGCGAGGAGCTGAAGACACCGCTTTTCTGAGACGAGGCCCTCCTGGTGGGCTGAGCCTGGGCCCGGAGCCCTGGGCCCGGTGGCCCGCAGGTGGCCCAGGGAAGGAAGCGGGGGTCTGTTCTGTGACTCAGAGCAGTCGGGGCTCAAGCCCCTCCCCAGCCCAGCTCACCAACATTCAAAAGCACAAACCCCGGACTCTGCTTAGCTGGGTTCTGCCCTGGGATGGGGCCAATGTCCACCTGAGGCCAGAGGCAGCCGTGAGGGCTGAGGGCCTGAGGCCGGTGGGAGGTCCACGGGGCCTCCAGGACACACAGAGGGATGGCTGCTCCTGCCCAGGCAGTGGGGACTTCCGAGGAACATTCCCAAACATACATTCCATCGGCTACCGTCCCGCCTCTGCTCGGCCTGGCCCGGGGTGAGCGGGGCCTTCCAGAAAGGGTGGGACGGCGGAGGCCCTGGAGACTGGTCTGGTTCGGCCAGGGGACTCCTGGGCACCCACAGGCAGTCCTCGGCTTGGAGATGCACTGATACCCCATCTCCAGTCTGACTGGGGTCCCTCCCCTCCTCCAGGAGGCATCAGCTTTCCCTGGCTCAGGGATCTCCTCCCCCCACCCCCAGCCCGGTCCTCCCAGCTGGTGTCGCTCTGCTTCTCAGGGGCCCAGGTCATAGGAGAGGGTGGCCACCACCCCGTTACCCTTGGCCTTGGCCAGACGGGCTGCCGTCCAGCCAGGAGAGGCCTGTCTCCCACGCTGGGACGAGGACTGGCCGCATGACTGCATGGCAGAAGCGTCTCCCCTGGGCACACCTGGGAGGGTGGCTCCTGTTCTCAGTGCCCACCAACAGCAGTCCTGTATATTTTAATAAAAGAAACGTGACAAAGGCGTGGGGCTCACCTTGGCTTATCCTGTGAGTGTTGGTCCAGCCCCTCCCACCTCTGCTGCTATCCATGGCTCCTGCCCAGTGCTGTGCTGGTAAGTTGTAACAGGCCCCGCATTGTAGCCTGTGCCAATTTCCATGCTGATTGCAAGCTCCCGAGGTGATGTCACTGAAGGCCGCAGTTGGAAGCCTTTATGAGAAATGCCAGCCCTGCAGCCTCCACACAGAGCCAGCAGGCAGGGGACCTTCTTGAGGTGCCATTTATCTCGCTCCCGGATCACTCGTCTTTACCAGTTCCAGGATGTCATTTCTCATGTCCCCTGGGCTGGAGGGCACAGGCCACAGCGCGGAAACAATTTGCCTGAAGATGTCCTCCTTTCCTGCTTTTTATTTTCAAAAGTGTACACTCAGGAAGGATTATGCCAGGGGAGGGGCAAGGAATGAAAACCTGGGGGAAGGAGTGAGAGGGGGTCCCTAACTTGGAGATAGAGAAGAGGTAGGTTCTGGGGGTATTGGTAGTGCTTCAAGGGCCAGACCCAAGGCCATGTGACATCATCACAGTGACGAGACCCAAGCCTCTCTGGGTCACCAGCTTTGCCTGATGAGCATCTCAGCAGGAGTGAGGAGGGCAGAGGAGAGGGCCCCCTACCACCACACACACCGAAAGTTCCACCCCACCTGAAACCGAGGGCCTTGGCACAATCCTGGCAAGGGAGCCGCCTGACTTTGCTGTTAGGGGTGGGATGGCCTGCATTTGCCATGGGCTGGCCACTATGTGGAGCCCATTCACCCTGGTCAGAGCCTGATGGGCGGGATGGGGAAGCTGAGCTGAAAGGTGTTAAGACCTCCAAGCCATTAAAGAATGGAGTCAGGACAGTGGCTCCAGGCTGGGTGTAAGCACTGAAATACCCCATCATGATGGGCCAGAGAGCTCAAAATAGGGAAAGCCCATCCATCATCCATCCATCTACCAACCACCATCCATCTATCCATCCATCCATCCACCATCCATCCACCATCCATCCATCCATCCACCATCCATCCACCATCCACCATCCATCCATCCATCCACCATCCATCACATCCACATCCATCCATCCATCCATCCATCCATCCATCCATCCATCCACCATCCATCCACCATCCATCCATCCACCATCCATCCACCATCCATCCATCCATCCATCCATCATCCATCCATCATCCATCCATCGACCATCCATCCACCATCCATCCATCATCCATCCATCAATTTGTACATCTACTCAGCACTTTCCTGTTCCTGACACTCAGTGCAGAGGGGACGGCTGGCTGTGTCCTCTGTGTGGCTATAATGGCAGTGAGGAGTCTAGGACCCCTGGGCAATCAGTCATGGATAGGATTAGGGGAAAATTATAGGATATTGTCAACTATAAGCAAAGATGTAAAAATCAAAATATTAGTCATTTCAATAATATGCATATACATGATATATGTAACATATCATCGCATATTTGGGTTTATCCAAGAAATGCAAGGTTTAACATTAAAAAAAAACACACACACACACAAAAAAACACAAGTTCTTGGCCGAGCCAATTTTGCTCGGTGTTGAGAGCATCAGCCCATGGACTGAGGGTCTGAGATTCAATTCTGGTCTAGGGCATGTACAGTCCCGGTCGGGGCTTATGCAGGAAGCAACCAGTTGATGCATCTCTCTCACATTGATGTTTTTCTCTCTCTGTCTCTCCCCTTTCCAATTTGTCTAAAAATTAATGGAAAAAATATCCTCGGGTGAGGATGAAAAAAATACAAGCTCATTAGTTTCCAATAATATGGAGTATGCAGGAACCTAGAATCTACATTACACTTCCCACTGAAAACAACACACATTCTGGTTTCACCTGGGTCAGCAACAATCACATGGACTGTCTGAACCAGCTGGTCGTAAAGGGAACATGCAGAGGCCAGCTGCCTGCAGAGCGAGCTCAGCCAGGTCTGAGATTGGAGAGGAGAGTGGGATATAGATGGGGCCCAATCTGCACAGGGAGGAGACTATGGCCAGAACCAGAGCCAGCATGGCCAGCAGTTACCCTGTGCCTACATAGGGCCAAGATGAGGGCGTCCGGAAGAAACTCTACCATCTCACTCAGACCCTGCCCACTCACATGGGGAAATTGCATAAACCTCCAAGAGAAGATGAAGGCCTAACTAGACCTTGTCCAGAGTTGAGGGTCCTGTAATGGGAGTGGGCCTGACAGGAGGCCTGGAATGGCTCTGGAACAGGGTCCCTCAAACTTTTTAAACAGGGGGTCAGTTCACTGTCCCTCAGACCGTTGGAGGGCCGGACTATAGTTTAAAAAAAAACAAAAAACTATGAACAAATTCCTATGCACACTGCACATATCGTATTTTGAAGTAAAAAAACAAAACGGGGACAAATACAATATTTGTATTTGCATGTGGTCCGCGGGCCATAGTTTGAGGACCCCTGCTCTGGAACATACGCAGGCTCAGTCTGAGCAGGCACTGCAGGCAGCCCTCTCTTGGGTGGTGGTGGAGGCCATGCCACCCACAAACTCCCCCCGAGGGCTCGCCTGACTGCCAAGGGCCATCAGTGCTAGAACTGGGCTCCCTGCTGTCTACTGGGTGCCTTTTGGTTCTGTCTATTCCTTGACCAGGAATCCCCAGCATCCTCTAACTCACCCACACCTGCCCTACCCCTCTTTGCTCTCACAGCTGGACGCAGGCCCAGGGCCCCTCTGCTCAGCTCTCTGGGCTGTCCTTTGGGTGCGGAATCTATGTCTGCCCCACCGTCTGCCGAGATGGCCCGTCCATTGCCCCGGCAGTAAAGGCCTCAGGGGCTTCTGTCTCATGCGGTCTCATGTGTGTGCTGAGGAAGGTCAGCTGATTGGACACCGGCCTGCTGCCTCTCCAGCATTCCCCTCCTCGGGCAGTAGCCCCCAGTCTCCCTGAGGATCCCCCCCGCTCTCTATCCAGAAAGTCAGGGACCCTACCTCCAAGGCCAGCCCTCAGCCCGTTGGTACATGTCTTCCCTGCTCAGAGTGAAACACATCATCTAGTGTAGTCAGGATTGTAAACATTATCAGTACTCTCGTCATTTCACAGCATTCTACCTCTAATCTCCGTGATTGAACATTAACATAAAGATTGAACGGCTCTATTTGGTAACTGGAGGAGCCAGGGAGTGATGCCAGAGCAGAAGAAGGGTAAGCTGGCTGAGGGATGGAGACAGAGAGAGCAAAGGGGAGGGGGCAGGGTCCAGCCCTTGAGCTCAAAATCAAACTGTACCTTAAGCAAGCCCCTCCCGATCTCAGATCCGTTGCTATGTGAGCCACTCATAGGTTCCCCACCCCAACACTCCACCCCAAGCTCGCTTAACGCTTCCCATCTACTGCAGCCCTTAATGTCAAGCTCAGCCGTGGGGTGGATGTGCTTTCCAGACGTCAGCGAGCCCCGAGGGAAGGGGGTCGGGACACCATGCCCAGCCTGTCTCCCTGCCAGACTGTGGGCCTCTTGCCAGCAAAAGCCCTGGGGTTCACACGGGGAGGGAGTGGCCAGTAATGCTGCTGCGCCAAAGGTTACAGGGAAGGAGCCGCTGCTGTGGAGCAGACAGCCCAGGTGAGCTTGCTGGGTCGCGGGCCAGCTCTGGAGGCACCAGGATCAAAACACGTGGCCTGTTTGAAACATGTGGGCCTGCACTGAAGGGCGCCTCCTTCTGAGCACCCGCCCCTACCCCACCCAGCCCAGCTCTCTTACAGCCACTTTCCTGTCCTGAGCAATTCTGGCTGAATCCCATTCCTCCGAGTTTCACTAACAAAACCAGGCAGCGCTTTCCCCCTGTTTTGAAAAATCACCAAATACAGGAAGACATCTGAAAGGGTGAGGGCTATGCCCTCCATCTTGCCCCGTATCCTCCATGTTGGGGTAGGAGCCATGTGCTCAGACCCCCTTCTTCCCGGAAGCCCAGGCCTCTGCTGGCCATGCCTGGGATTTCTTTAAACTAACCAATGACAGTTGAGGGATGTGCGCGCCATAAGAATTACCGCATCCTATGTAACAAGACCCGGCTTGCGCCTGGCCAATCGGCAGGGCCCACAGTCCCCTCACTCCACCCCCTATTAAAACCCTGGTTTTTCTCACGGCGGGCACTCCCCCCTTCTGGCCGTTGGGTCAGTGAGGGCTGGGAGCCAGACCCGGGTCTGTACTACTAATAATAAAGGATCCTTTGCTTTTGCATCGAACATGGCTCCCTGTTGGTCTGTGGGGATCTTGAAATCTGGGCATAACAACATCCAGAAACTAAAAATAAGGCCCCAAGAGCAGGCCAGCAGTCAGCCCCAGACTGCCAGCTGCCAGCTAGCGGCCAGCCAACGAAGACTGCGAAGCCCTCCAGGCTCCTGTGCACGGGCTCTCAGAGTGGGGGACCCATTTCTCCGTTTTGGTTCTCCAAGTGGAGCAGGCTGGTGCTCTTCCAGCTTGGCCACGGTCACACTTCTGGGGCACTCCTATCTGAGCAGCCCCCAGTCCCTCGTGTCTACAGCGCCATCTTTTTGTATATTCGCATGTTTGTGGCTAAAACAGCAACAGAATGGATGCCTCTCCTCTTTCCCTTTGTGTTGGTAACTTTGGCTCCAGCCAACAGGTTAGTGCAAATTAACCTGTTTGCAAATTCACTCATCTTTTCTTCTGCAATGTCGACTCTGCCCACTAACCCATCTAGTGCATTTTTCATCTCAGATATTGTAGTTTCCATCAATGGAAGTTTGCTTTGGATCCCTTTAAAAACTATCTCCCCTGTTTCTAATTAACTTTGAACAGATGGAGTACAGTTATCGTAACTGTTGTAATATTCTTATCTGTTAATTCTAACATCTGTCACTTCTGAGTTCCACTGAAATAATAGATTCTTCTCGCTATGGGTCATGTTTTCCTGCTTCCTTCCAAGACTGGGTTATCTTTGATTAGATATCAGAACTTGTGAATTTGATCTTGTTGGTTGCTGG